ATTTATCTATAAAGAGATTCTTGTTCGAAACTTTTAAGGACCTGTGGATATCATAACATATATATATATATATATGACCCATGAAATTTAAAACGATTTCATAGTTATGGCACACAGCGTGCAGCCAGTCAGATATTATGGCCATTGGTTCCCATCGATAGAACCAGCGTCTCTAGGAATACATCCACTCTATTAGAGCTCCAGGAAAGCCACTCACCGTTGTCTCAATAAAAATCAGGATTTCCTGTCTCTGCGCCGCAGGATCGTAACGCAAGCGCGTCGAGCGTACACGAACGCATAAAAAGGACCGTAAAAGAAGAGAATTTCGAAAAGCGCAGGTAATGGCGCTTACCGGGCGCCATCGGCCATTTGCACAGTCCACGGAGCAGGTTTTGCCGTCCAGGGTGCCGCTTCCTTTCGTCTGGAGCACCCTCGACGTCTTCCTCAAACAGGTTATACATTCTTAGACGCGTCTTCAAAGGAAACCTTATCTGCAGTGTTGCTCGACCGTCGCTTGGGAAAATTTTGCAAAATAGAGATTGGTCGGGAGCATGGAACGGTGAGACGCAAAGTGCATAAGAAATTAAGTGAACTCTAACTGACGAGGAAGGGATAAACATTATCTCCTCTAGTAAAAGGAAGTTTTGACGTATTTGCCTGTGAGAAATTTTTCGTTCTTTTTGTGGAAGAAGTGAAATCTCTTGGTCACTACTGATCTGAAAGAATTCTATTGTAGCATCTTTATTTTAAACGCCTTTGCAATCAGATCAAACGCGACCAATCTCGAGTTGCATTCGCAAACCGGAGTCGTAATTCTTGCAGTTTCGGTCTAACATTCCGTTCAGCCTCGTTCCACCGATATTTCGTCGGCTTCGAGAAACGAGGAGTAATGTCGGTCGCGTGTTTCAGCGCGGCGACATTCCGCGAAACGGAGTTTATTATTGCACCGTTTCGAGCTGCAGTGGATTTCGCGTGGCGACTTACATAGCCGCGAACGCGAAGTTAGGCTTGGAGAAATCACCGGAGGCCGACGGGGTAATTACGCGGAGACGAGAGGGGAATCCCGAGACGAAGCAGGAGGAGAAGATTCTAAAGAACTCCTGCGAGCAATGCTCCGCTATTAGTCCCTAATCACGGAGAGAACGCTCCTCGAGGAGATCCTCGAAACAGGATACCTTGGGCATTTCAAGAATGGTCTAGTGCTCCCGTTGAACACGCGCCTCTGTCGCTTCGGGTGGACTGCGAAGCTCTTCGTGGCTTGTGAATCACCCTTTATTTAATAAGTCAAATTTTATTTTATTATGTTATTATTTTTTAAGTAAATTCAAAGGTGAGCGGTACAGATAGAACGCTTCCCTTGGCAATAAAGCAGTTTGATCGTTGCATCGCCATCATTCACTTTCAATAATAAATTCTTTCCATGCGAGTAGACTTCGAGCAACTCAATAACAGCAACGAACCTAATTTCCAAGCCAATCCTGTATTACCAGCGTACTTTCCCGATAATATACATCTGATATGATTGTGAACGCGACTATCGCGATTATCCTCGCGAAAAGTCAACGAGAGACTTGCGGCGCGCGTTCTAGACGACGCTAACGACGCTTGCGCGGAATTTCGCCTACGTATCCACCCTGGTAAATTGCCTTCCCAGAAGCTAGCCCCGTGGTTTCGTGCTGCTGCACGACGAGAGCTCGCGGCCGATATTAAAACGTCCCACCTGCCGCCGCGACATTAAATAATATAACCACCGTGGGATACCAGACGAACCCAAGCCTCGACTGCTGCTAGATGGTTGGATTGAACGCGATCCTCTTGGATGCTTAAATCCACTAGACGTATCAACGAGGCTCCGCACTTAGCTAGTTCTTGTTACACATCGTGTGGTTACATGGTCGGGTTCGCTACATCTACAATGGCGATGGAACTAAGCAAAATTACGCGTAGATCTTTTGTTGACGCTCGTGATTGGGGATTTTGTTCGTATTGAAATATGCTGCGAGCCTTCGTGAAAATAGGGGAAGTTTGGAGCTTGTCATTGATTCTCCAAGTATGCATTCTATAGATTCAAATTTCAACTGTTTATATCTCGATAACGAAGCCACAGTTCGCAAATTGGTAAAGGACTTTTCGATTTGTACTCGTGTCAGGACCTTACCCTAAAAAAAGCGCCCACATATTAAGAAACATCCTGTACAAAGGGTTTCTACGTCTGTACATAAAATGAACAATATACATGCAATGATAATTTCGTCAATATGTATACACATAAACGTCGGTTTCGGCGACATAAAATATGAAAACGTTAAAGTGGAATACCTACGCGGAATACATAAAGTCCGACCGCTCAGCGTCTGAATCTAGCTTTGTGCATTCCTACCAAACGGATGTGATTAAATATCGATCGCGAGGAGTGCATGGAATAAGGGTGTTCGTGTAAATAATTTCCCTGAGAATTCTTCATACCGCAGGCATCATTGAAACATTAGGAAAAATAAAAATCGAATTCAATTATAAATGGAACATAAACGAGTATAAATAGTTTTGCTACTGCTAGCCTTTTTATTTGAATACCTATTAAACTACTATTCTTCGAAAAGCTGGTATCAATTAAAATCTTAATTAAACAGTGTATATTTTTATCGGTAAAAGTCCCATAACATTTATCTTAAAAGGATATCAGCAGCCACCAGTTGAAATAGTGCTAATACTTCCGCGATTCATTGTGTATCAACACCTAGAGGAACGAAACGATAAATTATCACTGCCTTTAAATCTCGATATCGCGTATTGTGGTTCGGCCAATATGCGCTAAGGGTAATTGATAACCCGATATATCGGTTAATCGATACACGAACCAGGGTAACGTGCTGTGAACGATACAACGAAGGATCGACCTCTCCGATATTGCTTTCGGCTATTTTTCGCGAGATGTGCCAACATGTAAAACCACTGGCTGGCATAAGGAAAAATAGTCACGTTCGAGACTAACGAAACAACTGCCCAAAGTAATTAAACTATCCTCGATTGTCACCGCAGCTCTGGCTATGACAGTTCTCGATTGGCCATTTTAGTAAATTCAATGAAACTTTTTCTCCCTCGCCACGCCGCAAAACCCAATCGCCTCTTTTTCCCTCGATTTTTTTCAATCATACAGAAATGAGCGTCCAAACGTTTCCTATTCTGGCTCGTGCTTTCGATAACAAGACAACAAAATAATCTAAAAATCACTCTCGACACGTCCAACCTCAATACAGGAGCTCTAAAATATTTTTTATACGAGCTAATTCGTAGTACAAAATCATTTTTCTTTTTTTAAATAAAGGTAACAGGTTAGCCCCCTTTTTTAAATTATGTATATCTCAAGAATGGCTCACCAAAATATCATGAACCACATGTCCAAATGCCGCACGTATTAAATGAAACAATAGATTTAATTAAGAAAACAGCAAGAGAAATCCGGAATCAGGAATGGATCAACATGTCACCAACGAATCTACACCAAATCCAAAATCAACCAGCGATAAAATTCCAACCCTATCAAATAGAAGACTGCAAGTGACACTATCAAAATTGAGAATTGGCCACACAAATCTGACTCATTCCTAAACAAAATAAGTGAACTATAGCCACCATTATGAAACTTTTGTGACGAGTCCCTTACAGTAGAACATTTAATTGAAGAATGTCAGGGAATTCAACACGATCGAATAAAGTTTAAACTTTCCTATAGCATGCAGACAATCCTTACCAAGAGAAACGAATTTCCCAAATTAGTCAAGATATTAATGAAATATAACATGTAAAATAAATTATAACCAAATTGTAATCATTGACGTAGTTACTAATAACCTCGTAGTTAATGTGACCTTCAATAAAGTAATTTAAAAAAAAAACGAAAAACGTAGCCGTATTGAATGGGTTAACCTAAGAATGAGACGCCCGTAGGCCAATCGCGTAAGCTGGATGGAATAGTCGGAAAGTGCAAGAGCCTTATCTCCTCCGCGGGAACGTTTCCCATGTCTGAGGAATAAGTTTCCCCCTGGCGACGTCCTCGTCGAGATTCCGTTGTCCCTTTTACCTTTACGATCGGAAGAGCGTGCACCCGGTCAGCCTCGCCGATTGCGCAGATCGCACGTGCGATACTCGCGAATGAAAATCCAAGGAATCCGTGGTACCAACAGGAAGAAGCCTGAAAGTGTGTAGAATCAGAGCAACGGCCGCGGTAAGTGGGATAGAAGAAAAGAAAAGAAACTCATACCAGCGAGAAACGTTTCGAGATATTGCGTTACCCACGTTGGAAACTATGGCAGACCACTTTGCCCCTGCGCGTTTCCGTTTCCCGAACAGTCGGAATTGGAGCCATTTGATTCCGGCCTCGAAATGCATCGCATCAAGTTTTTCCATCTCGCGCTCTCAGAACGATATAATTTCGTTAAACGAAAGTTACCCGTAGCGAGTGAAAAGAAATTCGTTAAACGTACGAAATCAGGGTTATAATGATTTTTATAATCCTATAATGTAACCCTTGTTCTTATATCTAAAAATGTCTGTTATTACTCGCAACGAAGGATTGTTCCAGACAAATCTCCCCCGCAAGAGGGGGAGGTCAACTAATTTTTGTTTTGGTACAATTATTCCTTCATAGACAAAAATTATAGAAGTACTGTCTCCAAAGTGTAAACCAATTTGCTTGAAATATTGAGAGTAATGCAAACAGTATCGTGACACATATGCGTCGTCCCACTGGATACCAACTTTATTCGACTCGTCGAAACTACCTGCGATTCTTCTTTCCTTCCCCCCTGTCGCATCCTGTTAAACACACCATCCGAAGTATTGAGAATAATGCATCAGATCCAACCTTCCCCACCCACCGAGTGACTCATTTTTCTCGATTCGCGCGAATGTTTTGTACTGCAGAATTTTTCCTTCCACGGAGTCGGTGCGATAAATCTTCGGCGTATCTCAAACGTTCGATCGATCATTCTGTGTTTCAGGTGACAGTGAGAGACGACGGAAGGCCTTCCCTGTCGTCGACGACCCGCGTGGTGATCGCGGTGGCGGACATAAACGATCACGGACCGGAGTTCGAGCAAAAATTCTACACCGTTCAGATCCCAGCCTCGCCGTCGATCGAGAAGCCTCTCTTCCAGGTACGTTGCACCTTCGTTTCAACTTCTTTACCGATTTCGCGATTCCTCGCGACTCTATCCGGCCTTCTAGTTGAATTGGAACATGGCATCGCACTTTCTTCGACCCTTGGATCGTAAATCGAACAAACGGAGAAGCTAACCGATTCTCTTCCGTTTCGTTCCTCCCCTTTGTCTCTTTGTACACTATGTAGAAGCATCCCCCGTGTCTTGCTGTATATATTATCTGTTCAGACGTGGAGGTAAACCTTCGTCTCGCGAGAGGAGCACTCCGTCCAGCTGTACGTATCTCTAGACAAGAGGGCACGCGCGAGTCGAGAGTTGATGGAAATCACGGTTTCGGAACTGTGTAATTTGTTTTCATCCTGCTTCGGAGAATTCGAGAGTCGTAGTACTCAAACAGACGTTTTCGAGTTCCTTCATTTTAGAACGGAATTTCAGTCTTCTATTCGGGTCTCTCGACTCGCGCTTTCCCTCCTGGAAGATGGTCGGTAATTCGTCGAAACCGAACGCTATCGAATCGAGTCTGATGATTTCTGATGCTAATCAATTCTCAGATATTTAAATTAACCTTCCTCTTCTACGGTGGGGTTAAAAGCGACCGACATATTAGTTACACATAGACATCATTAGGTTTTTGTATTGTTTCCGCAATTGTGAAGACTGAATTCAATAAGACTGAAATCACCCAAAGATTATAAATAAAAATTAATTTGGTTTTAAAGAAGAACTTTCTTTTACTGAGTAATAGCCCTCTTTGTACGTGATAAATGCGTTTTTATATGAAAAAGGCCCATAAATATGGCGAGGGGTCGGATCGGACCAAACCGTAGTAAATGTACGATCAGAAACCACCGCAGAAGAGGAGGGTTAAACAAAATGCGCAGTATTTTCTGACACACTCAAATAATTTTCTCAAATCCCGGTAGCGTTCTTTTCGCCAAGCAAACGACCATTTTCACCCCCTTACTTTCGTCACCCCAATCATCACGCAGTAACGTCACGAGACCATAGTCTCAGAATCGCCTCGCACCTTCCCTCTAACGATAATCCACAGTTTCCAAATTTTTATTCGAAACGTCGTTGGCGATTGCTTCAAGTCCGTCTTAATTTTGTACGCCTTACTCGTGACAGAGCCCACATACGCACGCACGCGCGTGTACAGACGTTGACGTATGACACGTTACATCCCCACGTATCTGAGGTATAGAAAAAGCCTGGTATGTATGATCCACAAAGAGCAGATTGCTTGCGATACCCTCCTCGCTTTGTCGTTCGCTCCCTTCGAGTTGTCGTCTCTCGTCCTCCGCGCGATCAAAGTAATCCACGACCAGTCGCTGACTATACCCACGTAAAAGGGTAGAGATTTACCGCGTGCACACCCTCGCGAAGGACACGCCTGCAGCCATCTTGCCGTTCCCTGGATTTAAGAGCAAAAAGTGCAACCGGTTACGCGTCGTCGATTTTGGAATTGGAAGGACTGATGTTACTGTGACGAGCTCCTCCTTTGGAACGACTAGTCCTCGGACCAGGACTATTCGAGAATGATTGATCGAGTCTGACCTCGATTGCTGCAAAAGGGTAGTTTAACCCTTTCAGAGCTGAATTATTTTTTTTCGAGGAAAACTGGTCTTTCTTCATATGCACCAATAAGGACATTGGCTCTAAACGATAGTGTCGGTAATTTTTAAATTTTGTGTCCTCAATTGTGGAGTCCAAGTCTGAAACTTGAGGAATTTATATCAAGTATACGGTACTGTAGGATAATTTTAAACGCAGATAAACAACAGGAATTGCAACTGTATTTCAAATTTGGTATAATAATCCATTAAATTGATTTAACAGTGGGATGCACGTTAACAGATATTTAAACGTTAGTAATATAAATTTGATAGAGCTTCGAATCTAGAATTACTAATTCGACAATATCCGATGAAATATGAAAAAGGAAATACAACGATCGGATCGAAAACGCTATTAACGGCAGATAGAAGCGGTCGATGTTATTAAACATTAGCAAAATTCGAGAAGCGCCCGGGAAATAAGGTAATGAATGGTATCATGCGGTTGGTGGGGTCTCGTTAATCCGATTTCAACGGTATTATACTGTTCACAATATCCCTGGAATATATAATATAATTTCCCGAGTGGCGTCGAATTTCGTCGAGGTCAGATTCGATTTCATCGAATATCGTGTTACACCTGTCCGATTCCGTAATTTCGGTCGTGCAACATTTTGCGTGGTTCGCTCGTCACGTGACACGAGTATCCTTGAACGAACAATTTCAATCGATTGGATAAGCATCCTTGAATCCTAGGCAAAATCAACCGATGGTAGCGAAGCATTCGTTCGATATGAAGAGAAGCACGCGGAAAGGGAACAAAGAGAGTTAACGGAAACAATGCGAAAGTTAAAAGCTTTACTTCTCTCGTTCTCGACAGAAATCGAGGAACCGGTCGCGGGAGTTCGACCTTTCGATCGATACGTTACTAGAGAATGGAACTTGGGAGACATTTAGCCCCGACACCTTGTCAGGAGATCGTATCTTCAGGGTAAGGACACGTTGGCACGTAAAATTAAGCGCCGCCTCGTGGCGCGGGAGCATAATTCTTGCATAAGTAAACGCGGGATTGGTCTCCGGGGTAGTTTTTACGCGAGCTCTTTGCATTGATTTATGACCGCTTTTATATCGACTTGTACGTTCGTTATATAATTATGATACCGCAACTTTCATGCAACCCAGCTGCCCATTTTATAGGAGACCGCCATGCATTCGTGTACTTGATCGATCGTCTTTTTGTCCTGCCCGATGCAACCCTCTTTTAAGGGTCTCTTGACCGCCCACCAGGCGACTCCAAGTGAACGTCGTGCCACTTATATTTGGAAAAAACATTTTAATTAATTGAAACAATTAAGAGCAGAATCCTCCTCGATGGTTTAAGGTATCTCACGTATATTTGCATATTCTCTAATTTTCTATATTCAAACATTTCAGAATAACTGTATTATTTGAAAACTAATTTCTCCCTTACGTTAGACTTCGCAGAATTTAATTTAAGTATCTCTTGCGAAGATCCCCTTCGTCTACGACGTTCACTCGGACTCGCGTCGTGCGCAAATCCTTGGCTGTTCTCTCCATCTCACCCTGTGTATGTGATCGTCTCGATCCCTCCGCCGCGTTTTGCCCGTTTTGCTCGTCTCTATATGTACACATTATGTTTCTTGAATGTTTGCCTTTGTCTGTTACGGGGCTGCCGCCTGATCATTTTCTGTTCTCTCTTCGCAACTAATAATAAGTTTCGCGGTGTCGTCAGGCGAGGAAAGCATGACGCGGAAATAGGAAGAGAGAAGCGCTCGAGGCAAGTTTCTTCCCACAAATTGAACGCTGATCAACGTGACATGCTTGTTTTAGGTCATCCCATTTATTATAAATCAAGCTTAAACTGTTATGCCACAGTTGCTCTCAATTTTAGAACTTATGCAGTGCCTCTACAAAAAGTCTGCAAGATATCTACCAAATATGAGCCGCTCATTGCATAAATCGGTTAATTCCGTTAAACAAAAAGTTGATAAATGCGATCAAAATGGCCTCTGAAATAAATTATTTATTATTCAATAGCCAAAATAATTTTGTTCTGTAATGTTTTTAATCTTTATTATTCAGGAAAGTTATTATAAATATAAAAAGTTATGACTGTACTAAGTGCTTCGATACTTAAATTAAAAATTTTTCAAAAAGTAGAGTCAATCTATTTGTGCAGTGAACGGGTCATATGATACTGAATTTCGTTGAATAATAAAGTTTGGTCTTTATTAAACTGTGTCCTAACAAACGTAATAATGTTGGAGGAAAACGCGGCCCTATACTATGGAACGTGTATTGGAACTCCAATATAGTCTATCGAGGCTAATAAGCTGTACGATATCGAGTGGATGATAAGTAGCTAGGTTATCGGTATCGGATCTATTGGATCCTAAATGGACGAGATCTTTTAGGATGACTTTTGGGTTGTCCTACTTGTAATATGTGTTACACCCTGCATCGTTGGATACGTTCCCTTTCACTCCGAGCTAACGAAGAGGTGAGATGAAATAGTGACGAAAATCATTCCGCCTGTACCTCCCATTTTGTATTTGTCAATCTTGCACACGAAATGCAGTCTCTATTCGCGCTGATTTTCGTTTCGTTGAATGAAAAGCACGGCGTATCCACTTCCATTCATCAATCAGAAACCGCATTACGTATGGGATGACCTAATTATATTGTAACCGAATCGAGTATCGGAAATAACACATAACAGCACGAAAATTGTGAGCCAAAGGACTCGTGCGGAATATTAGCTGGCGTATGCAGAATGTACAGGTCGATTCAATAATTCTGTACGCAACAAATATTTTCGGGGTTTGGAAAAATAATTTGCGTTGCATGTAAACATTGCGTGGCTTTGAAAGAATTTTAAATAACTTGAGGCATGCGATAGACATTTTGTTTGCTCCTCCGAAAAGAGCTCGAAGAACGCGAAGATAGAAATAGCAAGGATATTTGAGATACGCAGAGTTATTGGACCGCCCTGTATGCACGTTGCCGCGCAAAAAAGAAAGCTGTGTACGTTCTGGTTGTTCGATGAACCAGCTACGATACATTTTTCCGTGTACTGGCAAGCATCAACCCGAAATAGCGTTCCGTGTTCGCGCGATCGATCTGCCTGTCCGCGGACAGCTCGACCTGTGTTTAATACGCTTTAATGCAGATCGATATTAGGCAGCTCGTAGGAGGAGGTCTCGCCTCCTCCGCCCTTCAGTTCTCTATTTCTTCCTTTTTTTTTTGTTGGTTTTTCATTTTCGCGTGCCGCATGATGACGACTGTGCGAATGCTACGCTTCGAGGTTACGAGCGCAATGTTTCATGATGCGTCCGGAGAATTCAGGACGAATTGAAAATCCTTAGAGCGTGAACGAACTGTCTTAGAAAGAATGGACTGTTTACTTGTCTTTTGTTTCTCGTTAATAGATTTCGCTCGTCGGTCATTGTAGACCAGGGATGCGCAACTGAAATGTTATTTACTAACAATACTTGGGAGTCTATTCCTATTGAAACTATGTGTTTTCGGAATCAATTTCTCTTTAATAAGTAATACTACTTCATTCCAGGTGAAATACTAAATAACGCATGGGGCATACATATAACTGAAACGAAATCGTAAAGAATTAAACGCACAAATATTGTGCATCCCTGCCTTAGACAATATTTTCGTTCTTTTGTTGAAAATGTTTAGTTACACGATGTTTTATCGTGTTCTCGCGCACGATCGAAAGTTTATTTTAAAGAATTTGCAGCAGATTTTGCATACGCGTTCAGGAGAATTTCGGAACGAGCTTAAGTCTTGTGAGTCTATCAGGATTTCTTTTCTATTTCTTTTGATACAGCCGATGGCCGCGGCCGATACTAATGTCTACTTATGTGTCGTGTCAAGTTATGTCAGTAGAGAATGAGAACGACGTCAAGATGCATATATATATCTGTCTAACTTTTGCATTGTGTTCCTGTACGCCAGGTTCTCGCGAACGATAAAGACATCGGCGAAAATGGAAAAATCCAGTACAGCATCAAGGGTGGCCGAGGAAAGGGCAAGTTTAAGATACATCCCACCACGGGGATGGTATACTCCCAACGTGGCTTCGAAGCTGGACAGGAATACGAAATGATGGTGAGTAGAATAGCAAACAAATTTCAGATTTGCTTAAGTAAATCCCAACACGGTCTCTTTCGAAAAAGAAGTAACGGTCCAAATTGAACATTTGCAGCTCACGCCGTACTTCACCTTTGTTGTACTGAATACAATGATACCAAAATGGCGCACAAATGTTTCAATAAGTTACCAATTTATTCGAATAAATATCTGTATTCCTAACGCAAAATGTAAATGCTACTTTTGATAATGTCCAGAGTTCATTGAATTTGACTTCAACTAAAATAAAAAACTTATAAAGATCTTGAATACCGCGAACACTCCTTAAAACTCTTGAAGAGTCTTGAAAAAGTCTTAAGAGTTTGAAACATCCAGAAAGTTCAGATCGTTTAAAAATCCTTTCACAAAAAGTGCGAAGCACTTGGATTAAAAACCCTTGAGATCAAAACTGCCACCCAAAATAAATAGACGTATTTACATAACGACCGGAAATATCCATTTATTATATTGCAATACCAGTGTCATATCACGAAGTCTTTTCTAAAACAAAAGACTTATCAAAGCCATCGTGCTCGAGCCAATCAAATCTTGACGTCATAAATTCGACGGTTCATCGCTAGCAGTAACCAATTGTCCGTAGAGCGTTGCTCCTTTGACTAAACTTGAATTCAAGTATAACTTACGTGAGGGTGCTCTTCTGTTTGACAGATAAGAGCCGCAGACAGTGGAGAACCGCAACGTAGTCATCAAACACGGGTATCTGTCCAAGTTGTCGAGGTTCCAAAGGAATCCGAGAACCCGCCAGTCTTCAAGACGAACAATCAAAGCGTCGAGGTCACCGAGAGCGACGAGGTTGGCTTCCTCGTGGCCCTCGTGCAAGCCACGGACGAGGACGGGGATTCCCTGTGGTACGATATCCTCGGTGAGTAGACGCACGATTTACACGACTACCCAGTACATCCATCTCCAAGTCCAAAGGATCGTTAGATTTCGCGTTACGTCGTCTTTAATTGGTGAAATATCGCGTCGTCTCGTTGGCATACGTACGAGCACCGCGTGAATGGTTGGAAGCTCGACTTACATTTTCCAAGAAGTTAAGAGGGTCGAAGGTTGGAAAGTTTCGCGGGCTAGATCGTAGACAGTTAAACTTTACGCCGCCAAATGGCTGCGCCAGTTGGAGGCACGCTTGCGTGTACACTTACGTCTTGTCATTAAAATTGTAAGATTTAAGGCTGAGAGCTCGCTTGGGTACGATTTGGAACTCGAGCACCTCGATGCGGGGAAAATTATTACGTCTGCCTAGACACTTTGGTTTTCTCTTCTCGCTATGGGTGGTAAATTGTTAGGAATTGTTCCTTGAGTCACATGCTTCTTTTAATACTAAACGTATGTACCACGACCGGTCAAACGAGCGTTTTCAAATTTTTATTTACAGTTCTTATATGCTATGTATGAGCTATATTCAATTGTTTTATACATTATTCAATTTAGTTTCACATAAAATATTTTGTAATTTAATTGAAAAAAATGTCTTTAAGATCAGTCATTCGTCCCATCATGATAGAAATAGTTACAAATGAACATCGGTAGGTTTAGTGTTAAACCAACTCAAAAATGCAATTTATTGAAGAAATTCAAGAGTTCTGCAACTATAGATTAAAGTCCACGTAGCTTCAATCTCGTGTCTTCATGCCATAACTCTCGGGCCGTTTGTCGAAACGTGACTCGCATAACAACCTCGATTATTACCCAGCACGTCGAAAAACTTCCTAGCTAATCACCGTGAAAACTTCATACGGCTTGTTCTAGACGGCGACAAGCGCGACGAATTCTTCATAGGACGGGACAACGGGAACGTGCTGCTGGCGAAGAAGCTCGACTGGGAGACGCAGAACTTCTACAATCTCACGATCGGCGTGACGGATAGCGTGCACACGGTTCTGACGCAGTTGCTGGTCACCGTGATCGATATCAACGATCACAGGCCCGAGTTCACGGAAGCCACGTATCGCGTGGACATCTCGGAGAACGTCGAAAAGGGCGAGAAGATTCTGCAGTTGCACGCGACCGACCAGGACGAGGACAAGAAGGTGTTCTATAGTCTGCACGCCGCCCAGAGTCAGGCGTCTCTGGGGATCTTTCACGTGGACTCGGTGACAGGTACGATATCCTTGAACGAGGTCCTAGACCGAGAGACGATCGAGGAGCACGTGCTGACCGTGATGGTGAAGGACCAGGGGACTCCAGCCAAACGCAACTACGCCAGGGTGATAGTGACCGTGCACGATCATAACGACCATGCTCCAGAGTTTATCAGCGAGATCATTCAAGGAAAAGTGTACGAGACTTCGCCAATCGGCGCTGCGGTGGTCCAGGTCTGGGCCATAGACAGAGACCGAGGGGACAACGCCAAGATCACCTACTCGATCACTTCAGGCAACGTAGGCAACATGTTCTCCATAGATCCAGAGCTAGGCGTGATCCGTGTCGCTCGAGAACTCGACTTGGCCACCTCCTCGGAGTACATACTCCAAGTGAAGGCCACCGACCACGGTTCTCCAGCATTGGCCAACACGGTGCCAGTCCACGTGATGGTCACCATGGCCGACAACGCTCCGCCTCGTTTCATCCAGAAGGAACTCTCCGCGGAGATCTACGAGAACCAACAGCTGGGAACATACGTGAAGCACGTGGAGGCTAGAAGCACTTCCTCGTTGCAGTTCGACATCGTCCATGGGAACAAGGGCGACACGTTCTTCGTGAATCCCAGCACGGGCATCATAGTGATCAAGAACGAGCTGGATTACGAAACGACCAAGTTCTACAACCTGACGGTGGCGGCTACGAACATGGCCGGCGCTCAGGCGAGCTGCAACGTGATCATCCACGTGCTGGATCGCAACGACAACGCTCCACGATTTCTGCAGGCCACTTATAGCGGAGAGATCAGCGAAGGTGCCAGCATAGGCTCCCTGGTGCTTACCAACACCAGCACTCCGCTGGTGATCAAGGCCGAGGACGCCGACTCCGAGCTGAACGCGCTGTTGAATTACGATATCGTCGAGGATCTGCCGCGGAAGTACTTTCATATAGACTCTAGCACTGGCGCCATCAGGACGGTGATGGTACTGGATCACGAGAGCATACCTAAGTTCACGTTCCACGTGAAGGTTTCCGATCTGGGGAAGCCTAAGCTCTTATCAGAGACCACTGCCAAGGTGACGATCATCGTGACGGATGTGAACGACTGTCCACCAAAGTTTCTGGAGAACGACTATAACACCACCCTGCTCCTACCCACGTACAAAAACGTCGCGGTAGTTCAAGTAAGCGCCGTGGATCCGGATAGTTCCGAGGGAGTAGCCCTCAGGTACGTGGAAAGTTATTAATGTATGCGTGTTTCCTCAATTTATGCCCAGTTTTTACAAAGCTTATTCATATTTATGCCCTCTCTCGAGTCCCTTCGTTAGCATTCATTTACCATTATAATTGTTGCATGAAATTTGTACGATCCCCGTTTGATACGCTCTCGGGGCTTTTTCCCGCCGGAACAAAATTGCCGGCCGCTTATTACGCGAGGGCGAGGTTTGAATTTGCATAGGTGTCCGCTTGGCTCTCTTTTTGCGAAGACAAGCTATGAGGGATCGAGGGAACACGTAGTCCTAGTCGTTCCAACGACGTATCGATCACTTTAGGTATGATCTCAATCTCGAAGAGATCTCGACGAGATCTTGACGAGATTTTGACAAGATTGGCAATACAGTTCAAAATATGCCAATATTTGTTGTGTTATTAGGAATGATATACAAGTGTTCCAGTTAGGTTATAATATATAACTTTATATATAATATAAGGGTTTAAGGATTACATTTCGCACAAAATATAAGAACATTGCAAATAGGATATATTTATACGTATGTGTTGTTTGATCTGTAGTTTAAAAATCTAGAGGTTTCACGACAAGCGTAAGAATCAAGTGATTGAAAATCAATACAGGAAAGAGACATGCGAAATCATTTTAGCGATTTATTTTATTGTAACATCTTTATTATCAAGCGTTACGTCAGTGTGACATTTTTCAGACATGCATCCATACTGTCGACTGTTCCAAAAATTGATCGCCTTCCCTAACAAGTGACAATTCATCAAGCGTTACGTCAGTGTGACATTTTTCAGATATGCGCCCATACTATTTATAAATGATTTTCAACCATAAAACACAAATTGTCGTGATAATTGACTAACATTTTGCAATAAAAATGTATTAATGTTAATACATAATTTATAAAAATGAATTTTTCTGCAAACTAATTATATACTGGATACTACTCTCACTTTACACTTTACACTTTACAAGTTCACAGGCATTAGCTCGCTATTACTTGCGACGAAGTTTTTCTCAACTTTTCATGTTCGGAAATATTACTTTCTCAAAAAAGATTGGTATAATAATCTGAAACTTTAAAATCCATAAAATATGTACATGTCCGAATTAATTGAATATTTACAATGCATACAGTAACATTTAGGCTTTGATTAAATATTAATAAAAATTACGGTTCAGAATAAGTATTCATCGAACGCAGTAATTTCATGCGTGTTTCAGTACACTTTTGTCGAGCCTCACTCAAATAGAACCACAAAGGGTTAGATACGTTACCTTTACGTACAACACAGCTTACATTTACGTCAGGTCTAAATTCATTAGACCAACTTTTTACACGCAGAAAACAGAATAAATATAGCTTCGAATCAACGAAAGAGGTCGTCCGCTAACGATTCGCTACCCTTCGCGCAAGGGTAACTTCAAACCGACATTGCTACTCGCGTAGCATGAACGTTCGCTGCCAAGTTGCAGCGAATAGAGTCCAGGCGTTTAATTTGTTCTGTAAATTGGCCGGTGTTATTATCCGAAGCGAGAGGGGGATATAAAATCTTAATACTTTCTCATGCGCAACGTCGACTCTCCCTTTAACGGGTCCGCATACGTAGAGTGGGGCTTCCCGTCGCTTCGCTTCCCTTCTCCGTAGGGTAACGCTCGTTTCTCTGGTCCAGGTACGATATCATCGACGGGAACAAGGGCCACACGTTCGATATAGACGCTCAGACCGGCGTCATCACGGTTTATAACCCGGAACGCATGAAGAAAGGTTACCTCCTGCGGGTCCGTGTCTCCGACGGGAAGTACTCGAGCGTCGCCCAGGTAAATGTGATGGTCGAGAAGTCGGAGAACTCCGGACTGGTGTTCCAAAAGGACGTATACGAGGGAACGATTCTGGAAAACTCGACAAGGATCACGACCGTCGCGGTCGTCAACGTTCTCGGCAGCGTCCTCAACGAGCACATAGTTTTCGGTATACTGAACCCCACGAACATGTTTGTAATTGGATCAACGTCGGGAGCGATCAGGACAACGGGGATTAGATTCGACCGCGAAGTTTGCGACCACTACGAGCTGATCGTGGAAGCGAAGAGCCAGATGCCCGACAGAGAGAAGCCCAGGGTGGCCCACGTCATCGTCAACGTCACGGTGCTGGACATTAACGACAACTGTCCGATGTTCGTCAATCTTCCCTATTACGCTGTCGTTTCCGTCGATGCACAGAAAGGCGACGTCATTACAAAGGTAAGCAGACTGAGGATTGTTTTCCTCTGCTAGTGTTACGTCTCAGCTCGCATGGGACTTTTTCGGGATCTTGTCTTCGGTTAAAGCTCTAAAGCACACCTTATGTGTATTTATTTTATGATCAGAAGCAATTTTGGATAGGAATGTCAAGATTATAATGACTCTGATTCAAATTTAACACACATACATATATAATTACCATAGTGTTTTGGATTATATACACGTATAGATAAATATATTAGAACAAGAATGAAATTAAGATACTATAGGCTGACAGCTATTTCACTGATTCGTAGTCTGTGCCATTCGGATTCCAAGAAATAAATTCCGAATCGCGCATCGGACACATTCCTAAAAGTTTCGCATTTTCGCTATGCGCAATCTGAGTTCGCAGTCGATGAAAAAGGACACTCTTCGGCAGGGCCGATGTAACGCTTGGTTGAGATGAGAGAATTCTATTTGAGGGTTCTCGGATAGAACAGAGAAGATAATTGTGGAAGGTACAGCTAGGGTACCTAAAATGAAAAGTTAATAGGGCCTGAGAGACTCATGAAGTAACTGTTTCAAACTAAATTCTGTTAAACCGACGAATTTGTCTTCCTGTTCGCTGCATTCTTATAAACATAGCCTGGCAAACACAAACTCGTTGCCAGATCCGTGAAATCAATTGAGGTTAGGTCAATCACTCTCTAAAGGCTGAGGCCATTTTCGAAAATTAGATTCGAGGAAAACGTGTTTACCCGGTAAACACAAAGTTGCTGCTAGAACTGTGAAATCGATTGAAGTTAGGTCAATCACTCTCCGCAAACAGCGGTCATTTTCGAAGATTAGATTCCCGGAAACGGAATTCATCAACGATGTTTTCCTTCTCCACACCTTCCACAAGTTCGGATATCTTATCTCGTTCTTTCGAATTTTCAGTCCTGGAAAATAGAAAGTCTTGCGCAAAATTATTTCAGTTGTAATACAATTATTACTATTTAAAGTCGGTCCATTCAGAAAGATCTACAAAGAACACCTGTATTAATATAAATTTGTTCAACTCTCATGAAGGTGCACGCAGTGGATATGGACAGCGGCGGCAACGGCGAGGTGAGGTACGAACTGAAGAAAGGCCACGGCGAGCTCTTTAAGGTAAACCGGAAAACCGGGGAAATATCTCTGAAACAGAACCTGGAGGGTCACAACCGCGAGTACCAGCTCACAATCGCCGCGTACGATGGCGGTAAGTGCATCATTGGTCGCGTTATACTGGTGGAAACGATTCTCGACAAGCTTCGAACGTTATTTCAGGCACAACACCTTGCTCTATCGAGGTGCCAGTGAACGTGAAGGTGATAGATCGCTCGATGCCGGTGTTCGACAAGCAATTTTACACGGACAACGTGCTGGAAAGTATCGAGGTGCACTCGCCCCTGACTCTGTCCATACAAGCTGAGTCACCGTTGAGTCGCAAGCTCATATACAGCATAACCAAAGGGAACGATTTCGAGGAATTCGCCCTGGACTTTAACACAGGTGAGCGAACGTTTGTTGGACGGGAAACGAACTGATTCGAGACCGTCGATGGTAGCGAAGATCGAATTAAACGCGCGGCAAACCCGTTATGGAACGATGAAGTTCCGACGTGAATGGAAACAGTGTAGCTCTATCAACGACACGCGCTGATAAAGAATTCAAAGAGGCCTGCCGTATTTTTTCGAGTACGCGTTGCTCGCCTTTTGTTTCGTTTTTTTTTTTTTTTTTTTTTTTTTTTTAGCATTTCGCGTCATCGTTCCATACGAGACGATAACACGACCTAGTAGAAGTGTATACAGGGTGACTCTCGAGTCCTGATGGTATGTACGGTCGACGGTACGACAAAGTGGTAGAGGATAATTTTGAATGGCATGACGACGCAGTTGCGCGGAGTGATTCTAGAAACTGGGTCGAGCCTCTTTTTTGTCACTTTCTTCTTTTATGCAACGGCGCAAACGCAATGTGAATTTGCGCTTGTTTTTCAGATGGAACCATTTGCTTTTACATGAATCAATTCCTCTTGATATTCTGTGTATACGAATACCGAGGGTTGGTCGTTGAAAACATAATACTTTACGAGGTACTTCGCATTCTATGCGAGGAAACTACTTTGTTTTAAAAGTGTTCGAATGTCCCACCCTGCATTTTGTAAATAATAGGATACGTTATTTACGTACGGAGAGCCAAGGTAATCGAAGACACATGTGCCTTCGGTTCCCTTAATCCTTTGGACAAATTACGAAGCTCGTTGACTCACCCTGTGTAATCTTCTTTCGTTAAATACATATTTCCGTATTTGCTTCGACACGATTCCGATAGTGTTACGACAGCGGCAAACGTGTGTTACATTCGAAACGCAAATGTGCGATCGGAGAGTGCTACGTCCCCCGAATCCAGTCCCGAATTAAACGTCCTTTAACGATGATGCTCGTCTCAACTCGGCTATGGTACACATAATGACTATTTTTTTAAGCGTGACGGCTTATCCAAGTTAACCATGTGCCCAAGCACATTCCGTTTTAGCAAATGACGTCGGTTCCGCTGTACATGGAATGGTGTCCGGTGACTAAATTCTCTAATCAAGTAAACGGTGTAGTGGTGAGACGGTAGCAAAATGGGGATGTTGGAATGTATCGCACGTAACACAAGCTGCGGATGTATTTACGTCGACGATTTGTTCAGTTCTAATTGACTGTTATGGTTGCTTAGGGATGATTGCTCTCTCTTCCTTATTGAGTACTCTGTAAGGTAGAGTATAGTTCGTTACCCAAAAGTTGGCGAGGCAGTTCGATTGGCTGTCGCGTAACGGCGACACCTTTATTCACACGCATTTTTGTTAATGGCTGACTCCGTTACATCTACAAAGCTACCGCGTAACGAAGTCGGCGAACGAGAAAAGTCGAGATAAACTGAGAGAACAATAATAACTATTGGCGTAGATATGTATATGTAAGAAAAATTAAAGAGTTCGAAACGCGTAAGATGCAGTTTCTATTTAACAGACAATACAATGTGGACTATGAGTATACACTGTATACTATACAATGTAACTGCTCGAAAGAAAGTGGACTCCTGGGGGAGCGAAGACGGACCAAACGGTGAAATTTCCTTACCTCTGACTCTTTCAATTCGTAAGTGTCTCGCCAACTTCTGAGCAATATACAGTACTCTACCTTGTCACAGGGTATATTAACAAGGAAGAAATAGCTATTTTTCCTAAATATTCGTACATGTATTTATTGAAAATCGTAATCGATCTGTGTACTTAATTTACTATTAATCAATTCGAGTTCAATATTCATCGACGTTCGAACGGAAAATTGATTTATACTTTGATTTATCGAGCTCGACTCTTACCGTTTACGTTTAATTTTGGACAGCAGACACGAATCTTCCCCCTTTACCTGTCTCTCCCAATAATTTATTCTTTACGAATGCTTATCTGATTGAACTAGAAATTAAAGTTTTGTTGTATCTCCCTGTTTCGCAGCCCCCGACAGTAACAATGGTCCTTGTGAGTATAAAACATACTAGTTCTATCCGTCTGCTGTGTTGCACTGTACGATGCTACTGCACTGCTCTCTGGTTTTATTGCACGACTCAAAATAACAATGAATCTCCTTTCTTTTCGCAACGTTTGCGACATAACACGTGGCTCACTCCATCCGCTAATCCCTGAATTAACATCAAGCACGAATAACGGAATACAAGTTAGAGCACATCGAACGTGTGGGATTTCCAACGAAATATCGATCATTATTCATGCCTTGTTAACATTCGTTTAGCTTGATCCTGTGGATAATACGATGACGGAAACATTACCATGATTCACCATGAAAGTACAAGTGGATTTGCCAGACATTTACGAACCATTTATGATCGTTGTCTTCTTAATTCCACCAGGTTCCAACAATGATTTCATAATTTTGAATAATACTTTGCGAACATTTGAAAATTCGAGAAAATTTGAAAGTTTTAGAAACGATCGGTACAGTAATTAAATTACATAGTAGGGTTAGCCACTGAGTCACAAAGTACAACAGGCTATGGTAAATAATCCTACTAACAAATTCATCAGCAGGACCAAGTCGAGACGCAATTATTTTTTATTTTACTCATGTATCTTCATCTTCGTTCATATTCAGGGAAATGGCTTTATCGCGACCTTTTAACAATATTAATAATAATAAATGTAGGTTTCACCGTAGTACCTCTCTTCTTTCGCCTAGCATCACAAAATTACTTCACCCCGCATCATCCCAAATTGCACGGAAGAATCTGCACCTAGAAAAACTTCCGAAACTCGTAACGCTTGGATACACGAAACCCAACGATCCAAAACTGGAACAGGCGTACCCGAGGCTTCCAGTTCCCACGTAGCTTCTGCGACTGCACTTACTCACACTCGGGTATCCTGTTCTTTGAAAGTCTAACCACTTACCACCGATCGTTGCACGATGCACGATTCCGTAAAATAAAAAAGTCAGGAAGAGGGGAAAAAATGGAAAGAAAATGTCGAACGTTAATAACAATGCAACTTTTAACGGCATGTTAACCCCGATACTCCATCCCTGGGTAGAAACGTTTTGGTCGTGCACTTTGCACCGCGAACATACTCTTACTTTTATTCACCGTTTCCCTCCCCCCGGCCATAAACTCGAACCGGTCTCATTATCTCATAGAAGCAACGGAGTTGTGTAAAACGGGCTTGGAGCACAGTGTTGCTTAAACGCAGTACGTTGTTACTTCGGAACCTCTCTTGCCGTGGTAATTTATCGAAACATGTCTCGACCGAGGCTTATCGTCGGCGCACTACCATTTTTCTTTTTTATTTATTTTTTTTTTTAAATTTTTTTTCGTCACCTCCCGAGATTCTTGCAGCTTCACTCTGCTCGCATGACGTGCCTGCACCTTACATCGCGCGAATGGGATCTGCACCTAGAATGAGATGTAACACAATGCTGCGTTCCCACGTGTGCGATTGGCGCCGGGGTACTTAGTATTTTGAAATTCTGATAAAGAGTAGATTCGCATCAAAACGCCATCATACATTCGGGAATGTGGCATAACATAAGAGGGAGAAAAGTATAGCGGCATATCCCATTTTTAATAGGTTGACTGTGAGAGATTTCCGTTCTTTTCTTATCTGCTTGAGATCATTACAATCAGTTAATTTCATTGTGTAATTAGACGTTTCCAAATTCAACGTAACCATGAGTACTTCAGACTCGATTCAGAGTAATTCACTCGAATCTTAAAAAACAAAAACAAAAATTTGAAAGTAAAATTTATATTCTAATATTTGCAGGGTAAAGTATATTCCTATTTTGGTTCAATTTTTGTAGGTACGTTTTTAAGGAAAAGATATCAAAGGGTGTATATACAAACATGTCAGAAGAAATTACTCTTAACCTTTGACTGATGACATCTGGTTTATCTGGTTCATAACATAGAAATTATACATACTAGCTTATTCTAGAGTTTATCTAGTGTTGAATAACAAACCAAAAGAAAAATTGAAAGCATGAAATGATGTTTCCGCTTCCGGTAAGATCGCACATCGCCAGTTAAAGGTTAATTGTTTGCATAACCAATTCAAATTATGGCGTAATGTGCGCGCTCCCAAATTCAACCAAGTAGCCATCTAACGGTTAATAGATCGAACTAAAATTCCGACCTCCGTTCAGCGCTCCACCGGGAAAAACGCCCAAGCTTGTCCTCGATTAGTTCTTCTTCTTACAGCTAGATCGCGCCATTTATACTGTTCTACCGAGTTATGGTATTGCACCGACAGGTGTCGATAAAAAATAGTATAAATGGCGCCATCTAGCTGTAAAAAGAAGAACTAATCGAGAACAAGCTTGGGCGTTTTCCCGGTGATGCGCTGAACGGAGGTAGGAGTTTTAGTTCGAACTATTCACCGCTAGATGGTCACTAAGTTGACTTTGGGAGCCCGCGAATTAGGCCATAATTTAAATTAATTATATGAACATTCACATTTAACTGGTACCCTGTGGTCTCATAGGCCACTTCACCCCTTTAATTGTTCATTCAATATGTAATATAACAACATCTGAACTTTTTTGAAATAGTTTGTACAATGTAACGTAGTACTCCAAAATAATACGTACACGTTCAAATACACAAACGTTTAAAGGATATTTCACCTAAATTAAGTCTCATGCGTTCAGTAGTAAACTAACATTTAATATGTACACTACGCAAAAATTGAATAACTAGAAACAGAAATACACTTGTATTCTCTTATGTTCATACACTCTAAAATCTCGTTTTATCATGTGTCTTTAGTAAAGACACTTTACCGATGCACTATTATTTAAAAAATAAACAAAAGCAAAATTCAGCCCAAGTGATTTCAAGAAGTAACCTTCCACTCCCACTACCCCGCTATTAATCTTCCAAAACAATATACATATCACCGCTATATTAAAGAAACACGATCGACTAGTCTAGACCCAGCATCGAGTAGTCCAAACACGCGATGCAGATCCGACCAGTCAACCTGTTAAATCGCCATACCCGCACTGTCACGTTCAAAGGTGCAGACATACTCTGGTAGCATTCGCAAATTCATTCACGGGTGTCGAACGTCTTGTACAAACATGTTTATTACGTGACTTGCATTCGCCAGTGTGTCCCTTTGGTGTCCGCGAAACCGAGCAACTCCTCGTGTATCCGATCGCCCCCCGAGCGTGTTTCGTCACCGCAAGGTGTTCATTGAACGTAGAGATTACACTTCGCAAAGTTTCTCTCGATAATTCACGGCGTGACCGTTGTCTACCTGAAACGCGAAAGGAAAAGAAGTTTCTCGGCTTTGTGGACGCTATCGCTGCATAGAGTGCTTTTGGGTCTACAATCTTCTCTTCAATAAATTAGGTGTAATCTATGTGGTGGATGAGCTGGATTATGAACAGAAGAAGCAGTACGAGCTGACCGTGAGAGCGACAGACAGCGTGTCAGGTGTTTACGCCGAGGTGCTCGTCAGCATTCTCGTGCTGGACGTCAACGACTGCCCGCCGGAATTCACTCAGGACTCGTACAACATCTCCGTCTCCGAGGCAGCCCCGTTCGGCACCTCTGTGTTGAGAGTGAGCTCGAGGGATAACGACACGGGTAAGTCTATCTATCACAACTATTCTACCATAATTAGTTTCTTATTTGAACAAAGAAAACTACAGTCAAACCTGTTTTTGTACGATAGATAGGGACCGCATAAAAAAAGTCTCACTTAAGAATATTCATTTTAAGGAAGCACTTATGTCTAAGAATAAAATAAGAACCATACAAAACTATATGTAAATAGAAAAAATAATTAATTTAAATTTAATCTCGCTTAAAAATAAATCCTATCTTAATGGTCAAAAAATGTGTCTGCATCCTCCGAAGATCGGTAAGTATGTAACTAATGTCAAGCCACACACTGTTTGCAATGCAATAGACGACACATTTCAACAATACGTGATCGTAGCTTCATTCTTCTTCCTTTATTAATAATCGACCGTAGTTATATGCTCCCGTTCGTTAATTTCAAATATACGATATCATATTATTTTTACATACCGCATAAAAAAAAAGCGCACAAAACAAGTCGCACACAAAAAAAATCGCATAAAACAAGACCGCACAAAAACAGGTTTGACTGTATAGGAAAAGTGTTATTCGTGGTCACAGTGGACCATCGATCTCACAACAATTTGTTCATTCGCCCAGGTATAAATCAGCAAGTTCGTTACGCGATCCAAAACGACACGGAGAACAGCACGGATCTGTTTCACATCGATCCCGAGGAGGGTGTGATATTCCTGAAGAGATCGTTGGATCACGAGGCACACGAGTCGCATCACTTCACGGTGATCGCCATCGACCGCGGCGTACCGAGTCTCTCGAGCACCGCTCACGTTTGGGTGACCGTCATCGACATGAACGACAACCCACCCAAGTTCGAGCAGCCGTCCTACACGTGCTTCCTGTCCGAGCACGCGGAAAGGGGTCAGTTCGTGACAGTGGTGTCCGCCAGCGATCCCGATTACGTCGACGAGAAGCTTACGTACACCATCGTGGGCGGTAACGAGCAGCAAACGTACAACATCGACCAATCGACAGGCATCATTTCCCTGATCAATATGCAAAACTTCGGCGAGAAGAAGCTCAGCATGCTGAACGTATCCGTCACCGACAACGTCTACACGAGCTTCACGCGCGTCAAGATCGAGATATTGCCCGCCAATAGGCACAATCCGAAGTTCCCGAATCCGTTGGTGGAGGTGACCGTTTTGGAGAACCAGCTGCCAGGTCGATTGGTGACTAGTGTAATAGCGACTGACGACGACTTCGGGGATTACGGCACGGTGATGTACACCATAGCGTCCGATATGATGAGGGAGATATTCGACATTAACAGGATCACTGGCGAGATCGTGACGAGGAAAAAGCTGGATCGCGAGGAACAGAAACTTTACGAGCTGCCAGTGATGGCCACCGACGGGGGTGGCAGGTCAGGATTTGTAATGGTCAGAGTCAAGGTTGGAGATGAGAACGATAATTCACCCGTGTTCCTCTTGAGGGAGTACAAGGCCAGCATACACGGGAACCTGACTCTGAACACACCGTTCCTGAAGGTCAAGGCTCAGGACGCGGACGATGACGACGCTGCAAGGATCGTTTACTCGATATACGAACCCCAGACTTCGGAGACGAAGGCGTTGTTTGGCGTCAATCCTGACACTGGAGCGATGTTCCTGCAGAAAAGCGCGGTACCATGGGGTAAGAATTCTCACTTTTGATTAGAACGTTTCTGTGCTTGGTAAAGACCGGACTCAGACAGATTGATAAAATACCCACTAAAACACACTCTAGAAATAAAATAAGATATAAAATACGTGATTTTATACTTACCTGACATAAGACTGTGCAATTGTTATCTATTTGTCTATTGTTTGTATATATCTATTTGTTATCTATTGTTGTCTATTTAGAACTCAAATAGATGTAGTAAATCGATATATTTTTTATATATTCACTTTATAAATATAGTTTATAAGAATATATTATCCGTAAAATTTAGACTTAAGAAAATAGGTATGTAAAATACTGTTAAAAAATGCTCTAAATGGAATAACTATAGCCAAATAGTTTGTCACTTTAAATAAATACTCCAATAATCTGACCGTACTCAACCACCACGTGTTAAATTTTTTAGAAAATCAACTGTTCGAGCTGTTCATTCGCGCAGAGGATAAAGGCGTGACAACTCACCACGCGGACGTGCCTCTCAACGTTTACATAATGGGCTCGCTAGACGTTCCTCCACTCTTCGAACGAAAGGAGGATAAATTCTTCATATCCGAGGCGTCTCCCGTCGGCACTCCGATAACAAGGCTAAAAACCGTGACCAACAGCACGGTATCTTACAGAATAGTATCAGGAGACGAAGACTCGCCGCTTTTCACGATCGACTCCCACGGTCAGATCACTCTGGCCAAACCGCTGGACCGAGAGTTGAAAGACAACCATCTGATCGGGGTTCTCGCTGAAACCGATTCGAGTCCTCCGCTGACGGCTCTCGCCGAGATATCTCTGCAGGTGTTGGACGAAAACGACCACGCTCCAAAGTTCGAAAGCAACCCTTACAGCATCAATCTGGCGGAGAACATAGAGGAAGGGACGTCGATTTTGAAGATCATCGCACACGACGATGATTTAGGAAGCAACGGGGAGGTGCGTTACTCCTTTGGTTCTGACATTGGTGAATTGGCGAATGTATTCACGGTGGACGCGTATACTGGGTGGATATCGACGTTGGTTCAGCTCGACAAGGAGAAACAACCGGAATACAAGTTCCAGGTAAGGCTAAGTGTTGAAGGGATTCCGAAATAATAGACAAGTAAAACTAACGCAAACGTTTCTTTCTATTTCGTTAGGTGGTCGCAACAGATAACGGGAACCCGAAACACTTTGCTAGAACTTCCGTGCACGTTAAGCTAAAGGATTATAACGACAACGCTCCGATGTTCGTGGACGATCGTTACGAGGCTGCCGTGAACGAGGACGCTCTGCCAGGAACGGTGGTGGTCAAGCTCGTCACCGTCGACAAAGATTCGGACGTCAACACGCCGATCGAGTTCTACATAACATCCGGAGACTCGAGATCGCAGTTTCAGATCAGGTCAACCGGCGAGGTTTACGTGGCGAAGGCCCTGGACCGTGAGACCATCGATCGTTACGAACTCGAAATCATCGGGACCGATGGCAAATACGTTTTCAAGACAAAAGTGACGGTCCAAGTGCTGGACGTGAACGACAACCCGCCGTATTGCCTTAGGTATCGTTACAGAGAGATACTCTCCGAAGGCTCGCATCCTGGGACGTACGTGCTCACCGTTCTAGCCACGGATTACGACGACGAACCGAATGCCAAATTGCGTTTCTACTTGACGGGCGATAACAATGATAAATTCTCCCTAGACAAGGAGACGGGGGTCCTGAAGACCATCGGTCAGCTCGATCGAGAAACTCAAGCGAAATACTCGCTCACTGCCCACGTGCAAGACAGAGACAAGCCGTCTTGGGAGTGCTCCTCTCAGCTGGAAATCCTGGTCTCCGATCTGAACGATAACGCGCCAAAGTTCACCATGCAGACCTACAGCGCAACGCTGCCGGAAGACGTCGAAGTGGGTACTTTAGTGACCAAAGTGCACGCCACAGACGACGACATCGGCATCAATCGCAAGATCAGATACGAGTTCGTCGATTCCGCCGACGGCCAGTTCCTCATCGCCGCGGACAGCGGTATCGTCACCCTAGGCAAGTCGTTGGACAGAGAGACGAAAGCTATGTACAACGTTACCATTCAAGCTATGGATCAAGGGACACCTCAGCTGATGAGCATCACCTCGCTCATCGTCAACGTGCAGGACATCAACGACAATCCTCCAGAATTCGCCTCCAAGATTTACTTCGCCAAGGTGCCCGAGATATACGCCATTGGCACGGAAGTCGCAAGGGTCCTCGCTACGTCCAAGGACACAGGTGTGAACGCTGACGTATACTACTCGATCGTCGGTGGAAACGAGCACAAGAAGTTCCAAATAGACGCGCGTACGGGTGTCATCACCATCTCGGAACAGTTGGACTACGAGCGCGCACGGGACTACTTCCTGACCATTCAAGCAGTCGACGGAGGCATACCACCGTTAAACAATCACGCTACCGTGAACATCACCGTGATCGATAGCAACGATAACGCTCCCATCTTCAGCGAAGTTTCGTATAGGGCGTCCGTGAGGGAGGACGCCAAAGTTGGGGAGAAAGTCACGCAGGTAAACATTCTGGTTTATTAGTCAGTTACTTATCCAGGCCTCACTTATCCAGGTGCGACTGTACGTACTTACTCTAGAATCAGTTTTGGCCCGAATATCCGTCTACGAGTCTTACACGTGGTTGTAGCTTAAGGGGTTAAAGTGAGTAACCGTATCCATTATAACTACATTTGATTCGATTAACGTTCCAGGTATACGCAAACGACTTGGACAGCGAAGAAAACGGGAACGTATCTTACTACATCGAACGAGGCGACAGACAAAAGCAATTCTCGATTGATCAGAAAACGGGACAAATCTCCGTAGCCGCGCCCCTCGATCGAGAAGAGGTGAGTGGAAATCACACACGAATCCTTCTGCGCACGATTGTCATGTAACCGCAATTTTCCATTTCAGATCTCCAACTACGTGCTAGAGGTTCACGCTCGCGACAGCGGTATACCGATGCTCACCAGCTTCGTGATGGTGAACATCGAGATTCTCGATGCAAACGACAATCCACCGCTGTTCTCGCTCTCGAATTATACCGCCGTGGTGCAAGAAGATAAGCCCTTGGGCCATACCGTGTTGCAGTTCGTCGTCACCGATGCAGACATCGACAAGAACGCCGATCCGTTCACGTTTGACTTCCGCTCTGGAAACGAGGGCGATGCCTTCCGATTGGAGCAAGACGGCACGCTGCGAACGGCGACAAAGTTCAACAGCAGAGTGAAAGATAAATACGTGTTGCACATCCGGGTTTTCGATAACGGAAGCCCGCCTCTGTACTCTGACGCGTGGGTCGTGATCAAAGTCATCGAGGAGTCCCAGTATCCACCTGATATAACACCGCTGGAAGTAGTGATCAATTCTTATATGGACGAGTATCCAGGCGGTATCATAGGAAAAGTTCACGCGGTCGATCAAGACCAATACGATACGCTCTCGTACTCCTTGGTGCCATCGTCTCCAATACCGAACGATCTCTTCCAAATCGATAAGATCGACGGCACCTTGGTGGCCCTCCCTCGACTAGACATCGGGGAGTACAGAGTAAATGTCAGCGTATCGGATGGCAAATTTACTCGCCATTCCATTGTAAAAGTGAACGTCGATCTGGTGAGCGAGAAGATGTTGGAGAACTCCGTGATCGTTCGATTCAGAGAAGTCAGCCCCGAGGACTTCATACTGAGCCACCGCAAGGGATTCGTCAGGACGGTGCGCAACGCGATGAACTGCAGACTCAAGGACATCGTCGTCATCAGCGTTCAACCGTCCACGGACGAGGCGAATTTGATCAAATCCCGGGCGATTCGTCAGGCCGTGCACAACGATTTGGATCTCCTGTTCGCGGTGAAGAAAGGCGGGTCTGCTCTGGGTTCCTCAGGATTTTACTCTTCGGAGAGCATAAGGGAGGCGTTGAATCAACACATCGAGGAGCTCGAAGAGTCCACGAAACTGGTGGTTGAGGAGATCGTTAGATTCAAGTGCAACAAGGGCTACTGCGTATACGGAGACTGCCAGGACAAGATCATGCTCGATCTCACGCAGATCACGCCCGTGGCCACCGACGTGATGAGCTTCGTGTCACCGCGGCATAAACACAAGATGGAGTGCAACTGCAAGGAGGGCTACGCTGGCAATCACTGCGAGATGGTCGTCAACGAGTGCGCTAGGGATCCCTGTCCGATGTTCAAGGTATGCGTGCCAGACTCTTCTGTTCAAGGTTACTCCTGTCAGTGTCCCGAGGGCTTCGCTGGACAAACCTGCGACATAGACATCTCCAAATGCCACGACGAGTCCTGTTACATACCGCGGAATCCGATATCCTTCAGCGGGAAGAGCTACGCTCGCTACAGAATCGACAAAACCCTCATCAGGCAAATCATCGAGGATCGCCTCAGCCTGTCCCTGAGAATTAGGACGGTGCAACTGACCGGAAACTTGATGTACGCGGCTGGCAAGGTCGATTATAACGTCCTGGAGGTCGTCAACGGAGTCGTGCAATACAAATTCGATCTGGGAAGTGGCGAGGGCTTGGTTCGCGTGAGTAGCGTGTACGTGAGCGACGGACAGTGGCACGAGATCCAACTGGAACGGGAAAGCAATAGCGCCAGGTTGACGGTGGATGGAAAACACGTGGCTCACGGCTCGGCACCCGGCATCAACGACATCCTGAACCTTCAGTCGGACGATCTCTACTTGGGCGCCGAAGTGAGACAACATCCGTCGATTCTGGGCTTCGAGGACGTGCAACGAGGCTTCATCGGGTGCATGGACGACGTTAGGATCGCCAGAGTATCGGTTCCTCTGCACATGAGCGGCGCCAGTAGCGTGGCTGTCTTGAAACGCTTCGCAAACGTCGAGTTCAGTTGCGATGCTGCTACCGTTCTTATTCCGCCAGGAATCTGTGGCTCGCAGCCCTGTCAAAATGGTGGCACGTGTAAAGATTCCGGTGGCGATACCTACGAGTGCCAATGTCACGGTAGATTCGCGGGTCTAGCTTGCGAAATCGACACTGACCCCTGCGCATCCTCTCCTTGCCTGTATGGTGGACGTTGCAAGATAGTTCCAGAGGGAGGTGACTATGGCTGCGAGTGCGTCGGCCCCAGTCTGAGTGGCAAACGTTGCGAGTTTGGAAGATACTGCAGTCCGAACCCTTGCATCCATGGTGGCGTGTGCGAGGAGGGTAACAGCGGTCCGATATGCAAATGCCAGGGATTCACGGGTGAGCGTTGCGAGAGCGACGTGAACGAATGCGACGCCAATCCGTGCACCAACGGAGGCACCTGTATCAACGAAATCGGGACGTACAGGTGCGTCTGTCCGCCGAACATGACCGGTTTGAACTGTGGGAATCCCGCGTATTCGACCCCGATCATATCGAGTCACTTCAACATCACCTGGGAGCAGCTAATGTGGATAGGCGTGGCGGTGGTGTCGAACATTTTCCTGATCATCGTAGTCCTCGCGTTCCGACGGATCAGAATGAAGCGCACCAGGGCGCGGGCGAACAACATCAACAACGAGACCAGAAAGGAGATCGTTCTGAACTCTTCCAGACCGCACGAGCACGAATTCAAGCGCAGCTCGAAGCTGAGCAACTTGGAAGTGATACAGGTACATATAGGTATATCCGACGAGCACTGAGAAGAAAGCGCATGTTTTTTAATCATTTTTTTCTTCATCGTACACGCCAGCGGTAGATGATTTAGTGAGATTTTATTTTCATGCCGTTTTATTCTTGGTTTGCGATCATCAGCCGGTATTCCCCCATTTCCTAGCGAGTGACGCGTGCATTGAGTTTAAGGTTTTTCGTGTGATTCTTTTTTGCAGAGAGAACCTCCCCAATGCCCTCCCAGACCCGCATCCTACACACCCAGCTCGAACAACGAGCCAGCCGCGTACAGTAACTCGGCGGCAGTGGCTCTGAATAATCTGGACACTCTGCGTAGCTACGGTAGCGCTGGCGACGAGCTGGAAAACTTCCCGCCAGATTATTTGAGAAACCTAAACCGCAGCACTCCTGTGCCTCCTCCATCCTTAAGTCTTGCTAACCCGGTCGGCGGAAACGCTACAGGCAGCGACACGGATAGCCTCCATAAGCCTACCTGGCAGGAGCAGATGCAACTAGCCTCCTTCATCACGGACACGACCAAGATCAAGAATGGTGAGTAGTATGCGTTGCTGATTCCCCGACTCATCGTAGCTTCTTACTTTTGTTTTTCGCTTGCGGCATGCATCGTGGGTGAAACTCTACATAGCTTCTCTCCTCGACTCTTTCACGTCCTTTCGTTTCCCGATAGCGCCTTTCTTTGTATTCTCTCTTTCATTCTGTCTCTACGATTACTCTCGACTACTTCGTCGACGTTCCATTTCCAATTTAACATGAAATTAACTATAGTCAGTCACGCACGAGCGCAGCGTCAATATCTCAGAGTAATAATTCGCGGTTATAGAAATAAATATCGTATATCACTCAGGAGTTAGCGAGGCACCTACGAATTGAAGGGACAGAGGCAAGGAAATTTCATGAGCCTCCATTCTTTCGTAATACACGCTACATTGTCGATTAAATATAAAGTGTATCTTATGCGTCTCGTACTCTTTAATTTTTCGTACATGTACAGTCAGTCCCATAAGTATTCGTATCCTCTATGTTCATTGAAGAAATTTGTCTATATTAAATGATGAGCTCAATGATTAAATAAATAAATGTTTCCTTATAAATATGTACACGAATAAACTTTACATATGTATATATTCACAATGAAACGTTTATTTGGAAATCTAACATCTATCATTTAATTTTGACAAACTTCTTCGATGAACATAGAAGGTACTAATACTTATGGGACTGACTACGTCAATAGTTACTACTGTTCTCTAAGTTTATCTGGATATGTCTCGTTCACTGTCTTAATAACAAAAATGCATGTAAGTAAAAGTGTCGTTGTTACGCCACAGCCAATCGAACTGCCTCGCCAACTTCTGAGCAACGATATGTACATGGTTGAAAAACATATACCTAATCTCCACCTTTTTTTATTATACCCTGGCTATAGTTGTACCGTAAAAGGAATCTATAATAATTCCCTTCGCCTCACTTGTATATATTAGAAGGTTTAGACGCTATGCTCTCGTATGATGGACTGTACTTCCATCTCCTCTTCTTAATACGAACGTCGAGAACAGTATGCTGACTTGGGCGTGTAGCGAATTGAATTAACACTGGTTGTATCGTATTGTGTGCGCTAACAGACCTGAAACGAGCGAGCCCAGTGGTACCAGAGCTGACCACTGGAGGACTTCTACTAAATTCATCTCGACGCGTGCCTCATGGAGGTGGGACCTCCGTTGCCTCCATGATGTCCATCGAGGATGATCCTCGTATTGTCGGCGGTAAGTCTGAGTAATTAGTATGCCTGAAAGATCACGATGCATACGTTAATTGGGTTTAATGCTTCGCTTTTCGCTATCCCTATATCTCTATCGGCCAGTTCTCTTTTTTTTTTTTTTTTTATTTTATTTTATTTGACCCTTTCACCAGAACACTGCTTCTCTCCTCGCTCCATATCGCGGCGACGGGGATCGTCGCATGTAGCGCGTCGGAGTACAGTTGTTGTCTGCAATGCTTTTAGGGTATCACTGGGACTGTTCAGACTGGGTCAGGCCAAGCCAAAACCCCCTACCTAACATCACGGAGGTACCTGGAAGCGAAGTTCCAGACTCGTCCAGCTTCCACAGCAATGAGAGTAACGAATCAAACACTCCTCAGTTACCGTCAGGTGAGTACGTCGAATTGCATGCGCGACATACCGCTTCTACTCGCACACTTGCACTTTCAAACACTTCGGTTATAACACTGTCAGCTCACGTACTGTCTCTGGTCATTTCTCACCTAGAACATCTTTCGGAAGCAGCTTGAATTATCTTTTTAGTTTCAAATAACTATTACTTGCGTCGATTACTGTAAAAGTATGTATGTAACGGTAAAGAATTCGAGGTTTTGCTTGATTCGTAGTTTAATCGATCCCGTTTGACCCTCAGCTTGTAGAGTGTATTCGTTACGAAGCTGGAGCTGTTGGAATATGTTCATCTTAACTGAGAAATACAAAAAAACTACTCGATGATGAGATCGCGAGCATTGTATATACTTCACTCGTCGATACCTACCAATGCAAGATTACCTTCTACGTACCAGTTGGGGATTAAATTAGTCCACCTCTTCGCGTCTTTGCATAAATCATCGTGTGCGATGTAATATATGTAATTTGGTTTCAGTGCACGGCTCTGTAGATCCGGCGAGGGACATCGAAACGTTAAACGAAGACCAGGAATCAGAATACGTCGGTGACTCGGAATGCGGTACCGAGTTCTCGGAACAGTATCATTGCGCCGAAACGCAGCGGTTGAATCCTCTCGACAGCGGCGGCGAGGGTGAATACAAATACAAAGGTTCCGAAAGTTATCTCCGTCATCCGAACTCATACCTGCCGCATTACAACATTCACACGGATACGGAGAACGAAACGAATCCGTTAAACGGACGTCTTAGTACGCTAGAATCCGACGAGGAGGAAGACGATGTAGTGCCTTATGGTTTCCCAAGCACCCGACGTAACCGATGCCACAAGGGCGACGACATCGACGAAATCGGTTCGGTGATCACCACACTGGAGGAAAGAAACTCTTTGTTAGGAGGCGCTACCAGCAACAGCGACTTATCTACTAATTTATGCGAGATCGACGACTCCGAGTACGAGATCGCCGACCAAAAGAGCAACGGCCGTCTGTGGTTGTCGGGAAACGGTATCACGCAAACCTCGGTGTGACGAATAGTAGTGTCACCGTTTGAGTTCAGACTGAACGTGATCGTGTTTTTCTGTGCTTCTTGAGTAAGAAAATCGAGTGTGAATGTTTGTGAATATATGACAATTTTGTACATACATATTATCAGCATAGGTAGAGAGAGAAAAAAAAGAGTGTACAGAGGCAGCTACGCAAGAAGAAACTGGCGATGAGCCGAAGCCGACCGGTATGAATTACACATACCGAGCCAACGATGTACGTTGTTCAACGCCAGGGGTGGGCAGAATTTTATTCCAATAATAAGTAACGATTAAAGTTGTGTATCTTGATCTGTCCGCGACCTTTAATTAATTCAACAGTTGTTTGGAAAATTTTCCATTCGGTTACCTTGATATTCATTCTACTATTCGGTTTCATTATTTTTATTTAACGAGTAACGAATGAAAGATTGTTTAACGTCCATTCGTTATTCAACATTTTTATTCGAATAAGAATTTTATTCATCCCTGGTTCCATGCAGGTACATCGTGCCTCAAATCTCCTATGTAGGTAGAGCTTAGGTACTGACGTACTTAATTCTGCGATCCTTGAAGAAATTATATGGAGCGACAAGCACGAAAATGAACACGTATTTTGGGGGAGCAATTTTTCGTTTTCACATGCTTTTTTCACGATGAATAATACCAGGTTTTTTAAACGATTGGTACAAGCTCACGTTCCGTTAAACATGAATTTTTTTCGAGACATATTACATTTTGACAGTTCTTACAGCCGTGGACCATGAAGCGTCTAATAATTTTTCGTATCGTGAAACATTAATCTTTCTTCTTCTACCAAAGGGGATGAGGTTTAGTAAAAAGGATATATATATAAATATTATGGCAACTATGCGCAACTATTACGAGTAAGAAGTTATCTTGGTTAAGGATAAAATTCGTTACTTGGGAGAAGTAAATTTAATCACGACCGCGTCGTCAGACCAATGACTATTATTTAATGACCTATTGTTTAAACTTAAATGTTATCCACAACTATATAATTCCAGTGCAAAAGAAAAGTACATAGGTACGTTTATGTATTTTTACTATTTGCTAACCGACTTTATTTTGGTTACGTACGAAACGAACCGACGGACTACTTAATAATATAAATGTAAGTACCAGCGTAGTCTAGCGAGTAAATGAATTGACTCTAGTGAAAAAAAAAACAGTGCTCTGCTTCTAGGGCGAATATATGTGCATGACTGCTGGCGTTTATTGCAGCGAAGCACAATAGTTAAAAAAAGATATGAAATATTTTTACTGTGATGATAATAATGTTTATACGATGATCAAATACTATGACTTGTATCATATTGATTGTAATATTAACTATCCAACGTTTTATAAAAGGGAAAGAAATTAAGAAGCGGAGGGCATCCTCCTCCCATGTGTACGTAAGCTAAGTCAACGTTCCGTTTGTTTAACTTCTTCTTTTTCTTCTTCTTCTTCTGTTTTATTTGTTCACTTTCTTTTACTTTGAACTTATTCTTCCATCGGTCACCATCATGTTCGACAAACATAACTGCATACATGGTGCTACTATTTACATCACGCTTTAACATTTTATCTACTCCTTAATAAGACTGCTCGGCGATGCGAATTATACGCAGCTCATTAACGCTCTTACCATGAATTACTCATAGTTCTCACGCTATTAATTTCATTGTCAGAATCTGTCCACATAATTATAATGAAACATGTTTTAAACTGCCAACTAACTTTTAATGCCATACAAACAATGCATTTCCCTTGATTAATTTGTGTAGTTGAGCGCGACACACAATGGATCAAGAAACTGTTATTTCCGTGCCTAATGTCTTGTAAACACTATGTACTTCCATGCGAGATACTTTTAGTTGAGCATATTATCTAGCGGCAGCTTAATTGGGTGAAGTGTACACGTTTTCTTTTTTATATATATATATGTAGAATTTTCAAATTCATTTTTTATGTTCCTGTTCTGTAAAGGACGCTAGCCATCTTACTCTATATTTAGTGGGATAAATGAGTAAACCACGTTAATAATAATGCGAAACAGGGTGACTTCTCTTTTGCGTTGACCAAGAGTTAAAACGAAATTATCTCGTTCTTGTGTAAGTTCGAAACAGCTGTGCCTCCCGTTTCTGAAATTTCAATGCAACACTTACATGGATACAATTAAACTTAGATAATTTATTCTATATTAGAATGAAATAAGAATATTGTACAGTTTTAACTTAACAAATTGTATCGGAAACAACATCAACCACGCAATGAAAGTTTCAGTTCACGTAGAAGCACGGCGAAATTCTTAACTGTTAAGATTAGTTTTATTTTTTACAAATCGATAACGAACACATATTGGTTAAAGACTGTAAAAGTGATGCGAATGATAAAGGGATCGTCCATTCATAAATATCGTACCAATCAGTTTGTAATCATACGGAGGTCGTAAAGTATTTGGTTGTTAAGAAAGAGGAACACGCAATATTTTGTAGAGCTTCTGATCAATTAGCAACATTAAGTTTTTCATAAAACGTTCTCATAAGAGTAGTATTTAATGATTTAATATGATTAACAATTCAAGCAATCGGAATTGATCGAAGAAACATAATACTTTTTTTGTGTGCGTTTACTTTTTTATTTTCCGAACTACTTATTATTGACTTTTTTGTACTTGATTATAATTTACAAACTAATAATAATAAATAGTTCCGTTTATTTCTCACTATATCACGAACTTGCCATAATTGTACAATTGTGAAGAAGTAGAAAATGAAATAACACGAAAAAAAAATGTGGGTACAACTTCCAAATTCACCGTAACACTTAGCCCTGCTAATAGGATACATATCGATATCATGGAATCTTTCAAACAGTGAGGAACTTGACTTGTTATAATTATAAGGCTATAATTAATTTGTACAAGATCAACCTATTGTAATAAAGAAAACAATCTTGCCTACATTTTATCTAATATTACATTATTAACCATCGTACCGTCGAATCAGATTCGCCGCTCCTCCTCGAAATATGCGTTTTTTTTTTATTGGCCACGCGGCTCACATCAAAGGCTACCGCGAGACAAAGAGAAACGAGATACGAGTGACAAGAACGAGTGACAATTAGAATGCATTGACGTGAAATATTACAGCGATTATTATTTCCTTATAACTTGTTTTAGTTTAAAAACTAGTAAAAACAATACACAGATGTCAAGAGTAAAGTTATTTATTTATAATTATTCGTTACAAAAATAGTTTTGGGTGATCTAGAAATATTATCTTGTGACGTCACATGAGGGCATCGTTTCCCGTTATTTTTGCCTCACTTTGATTCGTAGATCCGTGTCTGCAAGGGTGGAGTGAGCGGCCTTGTCTTCTTGTCCCGATCCCTTCTAGTTTACGGACACTCGATAAATTAACGTAGTTGGTTAGTACGTTAGGGAAATGTAAACAAATGGTTTGTATCTAGAAATTATCTAATTTTATTTGAATCAATTGTTACATACATGTTATAAAATTAACTGAAAATAATTATTTTAATTGTAAAAAAAGACAAAACTATTTTTTTTTATTCAATCAATATGTACAAAATATTTGTGATTTATTGAATAAGAATTCTGGAAATACGCTAAATTAATTACAAACTAATGTTTCTCTAACGCTAGAGTCAATAATTCGTTCATCGGCGCTAACAGTATCCGGGGATCTTCTATTAAACCAGCTCCAACCATACAGCTAGTAAACAACTAAAATCAATAAAAAAAAAAGTTACGAAATAATAAGTAAACAGGACTTCAAACGATAAAGACAAAATAAATGTACCTGTTCTATGAGAAGATCCGCTAATTTGGTATCTGACTTTGTCAGTTGTGCAAGTTTTTTAATGAGGGGATGATTTGGATTTATTTCGAGACGTGGCTGAAGAATGGAGTATCGCATTTCTTCGTTTATTTGATGACTTTGTGTTCGAACGAAATGCCTTGCACTCGCCATATCTTTTACCGTAATCACGCATGGATGCGATTCGAGACGACTTGTCGTCTTAATATCGTAAGCTTTTTTTTTCAATACATTTCTCATATAGCCCATAAGATTATTGATTTCCTCTTGATTGATACCTAATATATTCAAAATATTTAAAGATGTACATAAAAAATTTACAAATTATTACGATACAAATCACTTACCAAGGTCATCCGATTTACTCGACTCCGAACCTTCGCGCATCTCTTTTTCGACGGAAGTTAAAGAATAAGATTTGTATTGTCTCAAGTGCATCAACACTAGTTCATCGTATGACTCATAACAGAATAACACTTCGACGTTACGTTTTTTCAAAGATTCATAATATGGCGATTGTTCGGCTAAAACACGACTAAAACGAAATAAAATAAATGTACGAGCTGTTTCAATAATTTATACGAAGGAATATATAGTAGTGCTTACCTAGGAGCTGACAGATAATACACATGTTTCTGACCTTCGGGCAAGCGCTTGCAATACTCCGGTATGCTAACTAATTCTCCGGCGGGCATTGAAGATGACTCGAATCGCAGAAGTGTACATATGTCTTCCTGCAAACAAATGTAATTGACTAATAAAATACACCACAACCTTAAACTTGTTAAGACATTACCTTTTCGTTTTGGTCGTTACTGGTAACGATACCTTCTTTTAAGAAAAGACCATAATCTTTATAAAAGTGATTAAAGTCTTCAGGTTGCTTCTGAGATCGTTCGTTTAAAAATTTCAAAACACGCGCCGTTAAAACATTCCGCAATTTTCTACAATTGAACAAATTTAGAAAAATGAGAATGATTGTAAACAGCAAAGGACCCGATTAGTTTCAGTTCCTTACCCAATTAAAGCACTATTCTGTAATAACTCGCGACTTAAATTGAGAGGAATATCCTCCGAATCGACTACGCCCTTAACGAAACGCAACCATTTTGGTAAAATATTTTCTGCCTTGCTCTTAATTAGAATTTTGCGACTGTACAGTGAAACACCACTCGTCGTGTCTCTAGCCAAATCGAATAATCCTGGTCTTTCTTCTGGGAAATATAGCAATGCCCTAATACTAAGCGGAACATCGGCTTTATAATGTAGAATAAATCGCGGCGAATCGAAACAGTTCCCAATAAACCTATAAAATTCTGCGTGTTGAAGCGGTGTAATATCTTTTGGATCCATCATCCATAACGGCTGAAAATAGAAAATACATCGATGAACATCGATGTAGATTAATGCGGAGAACATAGATAAAATGGCGTAGTTCCGAGAGTACCTGAATAGTGTTAGCTCTTTTACCATTAACATAAATTGGACTGCCAACAAAGTTACTATATTTGTTAATAATTCCTGTAAAAAACCAACAAATGTCACTAATCCGAAGATAAATAATTTCATTAAGTACACATTTTAACACCGCTTACGATTTATCGTATCTTCGTCGCTAAATTCTCGGCAATCGGGTTTCAAGTGTACAACAATTTTCGTTCCCGGTTGTACACCTTCAGCTGTTGATATATTAAAAGTACCAGAGCTGTATGTAAAAAAACATTTTAATAAATTTATTTATTGCCTGAGATTAATAATTTTTTGTGAAACATGTAGTATTTTTTATACCCATCAGAAGACCAACAAAGACCCTCAGCATCTTTTGCATAAGATTTGGTAAATACTTCTACTTTATCAGAAACCATAAAAGCACTGTAAAACCCAACACCAAATTGTCCAATAATCTGAGATGTATCACCAGCATCTTGCTTTTCTTTTAATTTCTCTAGAAAAGCCTATAGTAAAAATACATCGTTATTTATAAATTAAGCTTTAAGGAAAAATGAGTATAATTCTTTAGCACATCTTACTTTAGAACCTGATCTAGCTATAGTACCCAAATTTGATATCAGTTCCTGTCTAGTCATTCCAATTCCTGTATCTTGAAGTGTGAGTATTCTATTTTGTTTGTCAGTAGCAATATGAATTTCTAAATTTCTATCTCCAGCAGTTTCTGCAGCCTCACTATCACTTAATCTAATGTAGCGTAACTTTTCTAGAGCATCACTGGCATTAGAGATCAACTCACGAACAAATACCTTACGAAATCAAATAAATATATTACTGGGCAATAAAAAGTTAAATATCAAACGTTAAAATTAAAGGCTGTATTACCTCTTTATCAGAGTATAATGATTTTGCAACAATTTGTAAGAGCATCTGTGTTTCAGATTGAAATTCATGTTTAATACTTTCACCTACAGAGGAATAAGTAGCAATAGGTAAACATGTTCACAAAAATGTGTAAAAGGAGAAATAAACTTTGCTAATACCTGTAGGTTTCTCGGTATCTTTTATAATATTATGATATTCTGTAGTCTGAGTTTGAGTTGCAGTCTGAGAAGAGAATCGTCGCACTGGACTGCCTGTTACAACTATACATTTACATTATTCACACAATATTAGAAGTAGTTGCCAAAGCACATAACCTTACAATCTGATTATGAAATAAATGACACGACGTAAAAATTTACATACCTGATAGCCGTCGACATTGTCTTTCCAAAAACTCTTTCTCAAAATTACGACTCAACGGTCTTGAAAGAGTTTTTCCTAATTTAATTGCGAGCCTCAGTTTCAACGCAGTAGCCATGCTTTCGAAAGTACGAGAAAACCTCCGGCTAATCTGTGAATTGAGATCACGTGGTCTACGCCAGCGATATTGTTTTATATGTATATGCTATATACATACAGGGTGCCCCAAAAGTCGGGGAGGAGCCGGAAATGGGGGGTAGCTGAGACGATTCTGAACAACAATTTCCTTTGCAAAAATGTCGGATGGGGCTTCGTTAAGGAGATATTAAGCAAAAACCCCGACCAATCAGAGCGCGCGTAGACCGTTCGAGTAGCCGCGGTAGTGAAGGCTACGCGCAGCGTCAATGTCCTTCGATGCACGTCGAGTCACTTGTTCGCGTACAAGCGCGGCCGCCAGCGCGTAGCCTTCGCTACCGCGGCCGCTCCAACGGTCTACGCGCGCTCTGATTGATCGGGGTTTTCGCTTAATATCTCCTTAACGAAGCCCCATCCGACATTTTTGCAAAGGAAATTGTTGTTCAGAATCGTCTCAGCTACCCCCAATTTCCGACTTCTCCCCGACTTTTGGGACACACTGTATATGTGGACCAATACTTTTTATGATTATACCATAATTAATAGTTATTAATACTTATGTATGCATGAACCTTAAAAAAGTTCAAAAAGTATTTATGAATTATTATGAGGTATCTATGTTAGGACCGGGCCTCCATCTCATACAAAAAAATGTACTGGGGATCATTTCTGGCATCAATGTAATTAACACTGGATTCAATTATTTGAATTATTTCGTAATGCATCGAGGCGAGGTATTTGATTATAATTACTTCCATAACTTTCGAAACATAATTGTTTTAATATCAAACTCAAATTCTAGGATTATCTATGTAACATAATATTACAAACTTAGAATATTTAATTAACGTTTAAAGTATTAAAATACATGACTTCTTAACGAGGGTAGCAAGGGTTTTGTATTATAATAATCAAGGTTACAATATAAACTCGTTTAAGCGTATTTACAAAGCAGCCGATGCATACACATGCATTGTAGAAGTAAACAATAGAATGTACTCCATTTATAATGATTTCAACGTCGAATAGCAAGTATGCATATAAAACGAAAGGTTAAAGAATAATTTTGATCAATTCTGTGACATTCATGGAATCCAGAATCCTATTTCCTAGTACAGTAATTAGTATCACCATATCATATCAGTTTCTGACTTCGTGCGAGCCAAAGGATTCAGACACAAATTCTTCAGGACTTGTACCGCGTCATCGCCATTGTCCCGTGCGTACAATGTTTGCCGTTTGTTGTTTTCAGCTTCGAACGATCCTCTGCGAGTGCTACCAACCATCGAATTTTCCTTATTTTTTTTTACATACGATCTATGTGTGCGTTTCATGGAATTTTTCGAAGATAACGTCCCCGTTTTTTTTCCCTTGAGCGAAGAACGACGCCTCCTTCTCTTTCTGACATCGCCACTGCCTACTTCGAAGGACACCAGCGACCTTATCGATGGGTAATCAGCCTTTCTATCGGAGTTTCTTGATTCCGTAGAACGAATTGTTTTTAAAGTACCTTGATTCGGTTGTGGAGCCCTTCTTTTGGGATGCGTTCGATGTCGAAAGCTAGTGGACGCGCGAGGTCCTCTAAAAATCGGTCTCAGGGTTCCCAAAAGTCTGCTTCTGACTCGCAGAGGTTCCAGCAGTTCGTGATCGTGCCAGGAAGCCACTACAGGCAAACCACAAGCATTATGCATTCCCACCAATGGCACACCTATGGTTCGATGTTTTGGCGTCTCCGAAAATACTTGGTACCTGTCGTGGAAGTTCCGATTGCGTCCACTGCATCTCGCGTTCTCTTCATACGCGGATATCTTCTGACCAACATGTCCGCGCTCCAAATCGATCGTTCCCAATTTACCACCGACGTCCACCTCGCCGTCTTTCGAATGTCTAGTGCTATTTTCCATGTTGGATTGGTCCTCAGGCTTTGCGTCGTTCGATCTTCGGTGACCAGAGTTCAGCCTTTGCGAGCTAGACTTATGGAAGTAATCATCGAAGTCACTAAAGTCTCGATCGTCGTCGCGCACGGCGACGTTGTGCTCGCTTTTAACTATTCTTTTATCCAGGGTCTTTAATTTCGAGGTGGTCTTGCTGTTTCTGCTTTGAAGTTCGCGCTGATAGTCGCAGGAGTGACAAGATCTTCTGGATGGGTTTGAGACGTGAGTCGATCGTGTTTGGGAGTGTCTGGTCTCGTTCTGAGTGAGAGACGCATCGTTCGAGGGGTTGTTTTTATATTTTGACGAACAGACGCCCTTTTCAGGCTCGGAGATCGATGACTCGAATTGCAATTGAGGAGCCACGGATCGTCTGAGCGTACCAATGTTATGTGCTATCGATGCCTGATAATGTTTTATCGGAATGCTCCTGACGGTACCATTTTTTTGGGTTCTTCTGCCAATGGTTCTCTTGTCTTGGCGAATCTTAACTGTGTCGTTGCTTTTCTTGAGATAGTTTTGATGCGGGGGATAGTTTGGCACGTCGATTGCGCGTTCTTCGTACAATTGGTCGCTGCGCAGGACGTCGTCGCAGAATTTTGACGGATTTTTCCATTCCTCGATTATACTTCGACTGAATCGCGATATGTCGTTAAGCCTAGATAGATTGGACACGGATTTCGTGTCTGCATCGTTGACGATTGGTGATTTACCCTCACTGCCCTCTAGCCACCTTCATGACTTAGCGCCGAACGTCGTTCCTGCCACGTGCATTCGATTCTCGATTCCCATGCCTATGGATAACAACGTCTTTTAGAGAACAGGTCGACTAGGTAAAAGATTCAGGAACTATAAGCATAAATTCTTACCGAAATCGTGGTCACTCTCGCTAAAGGGGCTCAGGGTTTGAGTGGACGTGAACGTTGAAGCTTGAGATTTGGCCCTTTTATTGCCTCTGGAACAGGCAAAGAACGTGCTCAGAAGCGCACCTACTTCCACGAAAATCACGGCCAGGCCAACGGTGAGCAGTATCAGGGCTTGATTCTGTGTCCATTTCTCCAGCATTTCCAAACAACCCTGTGAAAAGAACATGTGTTTCTTCACTTTGAAAGTGTCTGGAACCTAGCGATCGTTCAATATCTTTTCAAAAGACAAGAAGTCCTTGAGACTTCCATCTACGATTACCTCTTCAACGTGCTAATACCTTCATACTTTAATCGTCGTACATTCAAGTGTATTCCAACCAACCTACTTCTCGAGAGACATTCATTTATAGAATAAACTGAATCGTCCTGCATAACGCGCAGTGGCGTTACAGTTAACACTTCTATACGATAATGTCATTATATTCGCGGACAACGTCGGTACATGATGACATTTCAATCCGTATTCAATTTCTACGAGAATGCGTGAAATTTAATGCTCGGCGCCCACAAAAGATAAGGAAACTTTCTCTCAGCAATGGAATGCAAACTTCGCGAGTGCAGTTTTTAAAAAAAATCATATAGTGGAACACTGGAAACACGTAGGAAGTTACGATATCAGACTTCTTCATAAACATTTTAATGATGAAATAAATTGGCTAGCTATCCTCGAACTAATTAAACTCGACGTTTTCTCTATAGGCATACATCATCCAACGATGGTCTCTGATAACGAAAATATTCTATTTATGCAGAAAGTAGTTGAATTGATGTCAATAGATATTAAATATTCTGCGTTTGAAAATAGTGTCAAGTGCAAAAGTTGTATTATTAGAGCAATCAATTAATATTCAGTGAAAAAAAAAAATGTAGTTTTCAGGTGCGATGCCGATTGAGCGATACAATCGCGCTCTTGCGCAACCCGCATCCGCGTGGATGTCCCTTGGGTTGTGATATTTGCATGCGGGTCATTATTAAGTGTGTGCGTGCAAGACAAAGAGTATCGACGGTCGCTTTCGCTGTTCCCGTCGATTTAACAGCCGTTGAAACGGCAATGTTATCGTGAAACTTCAAAACAAAGCGTACAGGCCGGTATATGAAAACTATGTAAAATTGTCGCTTGAAAGAGTACTACGTACACAATAATTACTATTTAAAATATCGTTATAAGGATATGTAATGTACCATTAACATTGTAAATTAACACATTCGCGGTAGTTGACGTAAATTCACGTTACTTCAAATTCTATTCCTGGTTATGAACAAATTATGAATATCTTTTTATTTTATACGCTACATACAGTCAGTCCCATAACTATTCGTACCCTCCGTACACTATTGAAGGAATTTGTCTTAATTAAATGATAGGTTTGATGTTTCCAAATCAATGTTTCATTATAAATATGTACATGAATAAACTTTACACATGTATATATTTATAATGAATATCATTTAATTTAGACAAACTTCTTCAATGAACATAGAAGGTACGAATACTTGTGGACTTGACTGTATTTACAACTTGATATTTCAAAACATATTTTAAGTAATTTTTATCTTCGCCCTAACGATAAAAATTTGCGGTGTCCAGCTTCAGAGTTTTATTATTTTCGTCAGTACTCGGTATTAAAAACGTAAAATATCTGCCGGTCGCGAATGCGTTAATAGTAATCGAACATACCAGTGGATGTAAACGTAAAAGAAGTTTATTATCGAAGGTTTAGTACGCGATTTGCTTTGACTACTTGTCACAATGTTTACATTCGTTAAATCACTTCCTCATTAGCATACGTACCGCGGTGTGTCGGGCGTATTGATGTTCGGCTGGGTTCAAAGCCTGGCAGAGAGTAAGATTGGCAGGTTCGGGGTTGAGGAAGGAGTCCGTCTCGTTGGCGTTGTTCAGGGCGCAGCAACTGAGAGGCACCACTAATTCTCTTCGTCCGATTTCCTGCAGCCGCCACCAGGAGGTGCCGTAATTGCTACTTCCGTTTATGCCGCAGCAAACAAACTGAAAAGGTCGATGCAATTTGCGGTATTCGTAGGGTGTGCGCGTAATTGCTTTCTGCGATACATTGATCGATATCGCGCGTTTCGGGAAAGGACACTCCCTCGATTAGACAAATCGTGAATGGCGTCACCAAAGAATGCGCGAAACGATAATG